TCACCTCTTTTCTGATACCCCTGGAGACAGGGCCCGGGCCTCGGGGTTTCTGTTCGGTTGGGAAAAGCGAGCGGAGTCACACCATAGAACTCATAGAAGGAACTTTATGATACATGGGCGGCGCCGTATTCATTTGCATTGCATCGGATCTTTTCAGCGGTCTATCGGTGTCAGGCAGTTTAGTTTAATCGACATTGCTTGAAACAAAGTACAAGTCAGGACGCTTCTCCTGAGAAGCGGTGAAGTTCATCTCTCACCAACTGAAGTTAGAGCATATTTCAGGACCACTACTCCGGTGACCGCCACATCACTGATCCCCCATCCCCCGTGCCCATGCATATGTCTAACCCCAGCACAAGACGAGACCCCCAAACCACCTCACCTGACATGTGTCTCTGTACCCTTTGACACAGTTGGAACCCGAACACCGCCCGCCACAGCGGAGACAGTAACAGCAAAGCTTGAGCCTCAATACCATACAACTCTACTCTCTAACTCCCAGTTTCGGCAGCGGAAGGATAAAGGAGTAAGTGCCGGCAGGCACCCACCTAGGTACTTACCTGTGTGCTGCCCCAGAAAAAACCGACAACGGACAATGCCCATTCCTTCCACAGCATAAGATAGGAAACATGGCAAGGTAAGGTAAGGTAGGTAGGTAGAAGCAACCGCACCAGATCATCCATCAAACCTGCTGTTTCTCTCTCTCCCAACACCAAGTGAGATCCGATTCGAGACATACATATCATGAAGATGAAAGAGGTAAGGTAACAGCGGGCGCACTGTGTCTACGGGGGGTGGTTTCTTCCGCGCCCTTCCCGCCGGTGTCGCCCTCCCACATTTCCCACCGCTTCTTTTTCCCACCCCCTGTTCGTCATGGTGTTCGCGTCACTTCCATATAAACCTGTCACGCGAAGACCGCTTTATTCCCGTGGTTGGTGAAGGGGGCAAAGTTCCGTGTCCGGGATGCCCTTGACTCTCTATGTTATTCCATCCCACACACACGAAGCAGATGTGGGTTACGCAACGAGATCAACGCGGTACACAACCTAACGCCACGGGGGTGGTTCAGGAGGAGAAAAGCAACGCGAAGTTCAAGAGAAGCGGTCAAGGGAAGAAGAAGCGGGTTTGCCCGGTTTCCCACCAGGAGGATGAAGAGGAGTACATATCCGTGGACTAGGAGAAGTGGGGGAACTTGCCTTCTTCTTCTCCAGGCTACTGATGCAGTTCGACTTGAACTGACTGACTGAAGCCCCATGTTACCGTTCTTTCGGGACCGAAGTTTCGGTGCAGTTACCCATTTTACCCACTTGACCACTTATAGTGTTAGGTTTCTGTACCTACCTTAGGGAATAACACTGCAACAGGGTAAGCCAAGTTCATGACAACGGCGCCATTCTCCGTTGCCTCCACAGATGAAAGCGATAACTGAGCGAATGACACCAACCGTACTATACCGCCCTCCTCATGGCGACGATAAAAATGACCACGTCAACATAACAGACAGAAACACTTGACCACTGGACAACGGCGGCGAGAAGGCTGGTTGGCGGGTCCGATAAAGGGGATGGGGGGGATCACACCAAAGCAAATAGTAGAGTACAATGTAGCAAAGGCGACCAAGACCTGCAGGACTACCCGGGTGTTGGAGCCGATCAGAGACAAATCTAGATGAAGAGAGATCTGTGCCACCCCAATCCGGCGGCGCCTTCATTGTTCGACATTCCTGTGCTTCATGAGGAAAGACAGACCTACGGCAAGAAGCAAAAAGATGTGTGTTCCGTGCTGCGGCGGGCTTTCCGCCTGAGACCAGGGCAACTGGGGGAGTGTGGGCAAGACATGACAGAGCCTTTCCGGGCTTATCCAGACTCACCTGTATCTTGTTCCGGGACTTGTTGCGCCCGACAATATATGTTTATTCGTCAGGCACTTTGACAATGCAAGCCGCCAGTTTAGGACCTCTTCCCGGGAGCTAGGGAGACAAGAACCGCCCAACACTCCACATTTAGACTTCTAGTGTTCGTCTGGGACAAGAAGCAGCATGGGAAGAGAGGATAGCAGAACGACGTTATAGGCGGTACCACGCGATCTGGATTGGGATCTCGGCAACACCATTCCACGGCGCCTACACATACACAACACCAAAACGTGGCACCCGCCGAAGGCAAGCAGACCGCTGTTGAGGCCCACCTCCTAGGTATTAGTTTATTTTGGCCATAATGAAAGTGGAAAGTGGGAGAGTGATGGGGGGCAGCCGGCAATCTATGTGAACCTTGAAACGCTACGAGAAGCTGTCGTGGTCGGGGGCAGCTGGCTAGCTGGGCTTCCGAGTTTTGCGGCTGCAGGCATTTGGGATTGCGGTGAATACTGCGAAACCGGGGGGCGTGTTTAATATGCGGTTTGATTAGAACGGACCACTTCTCGGAAACACACGGGGAGGAATGGTTGTGAGGCTTTGTGAATTCCGTTACCGGACTGTGTTAGTGAGAGTTCTTCGTCAAACTAGCTAGCGGTGATGTGACGGTGACAATATCATCCAAGTTTTCTTCCCGGCGATGAAGAAAATGCACAGAAGTCCATGAGCAAGTCGATATGTCGGTCAGATTACGTGTCAAATAAACCTTCGACCGCGGAAGGAAGGCTATGGAGAAGACAGGGGGACGATGATGATGATGATGATGATGATGATGATGATGATGATAGATGGGAAAAGAAGTTGAGGAACGGGAATAGAGTTTCGTGGTTCAACCGTCGTCATCGGCGACGGGACCGGGAATGCACGAGATCAATTTCTGGGTAGGTGTGGAGCTTCCCGCACCTTTCCGGGCTCGGATGCGGGATGCCAAGACACGCTAACAACTTTAAACTTTGGGTGGCCGGGCCCCTTTCTTTTGACTTCACACGATCCTTGGCTACCTTATTCATTGCGCAGGGCACTCTTGCCGTTTGTTAGCCGCAACAGTTGGTTTGACGGTTTTCTAGAGTGGTCTATCCCACATGGCAAACAGCCATACGTAAGGCATATGCTGCTGGCATTGGAATGCGGACGTTCAGCCCGTTACCCAGTCCACTCAGGGATGGTCACTCACTCCCTTTCGATGGAGCACGTCAACATTGAACATCGCAGATAATACCGGGACAAAACCCCTCGAATCAGGAGGTTTTGCAACGCATGCTGATGTATGCGTAGCGGAAGCAGGGGCACCATGCCTTTTTGCAGGAAAATGCTGCCGACATCAGGCCACAAGCAAGAGTCTTGGGGTCATCGGGTTGGCCAGCATGATGCACGATCAAAAGTTCTGGGACGAACTCTGGGTTATCCATGGTTGAGCTCTGTCCGGATATTGTTTCGAATTCGTTGTCGTTCCCCCTTTCCGGGGAGCTCGGAGACTAGGTATGTCGCGTGCCCACATCGACACCACCTTCATCCCGGTCCTGGCTTTCCACTTCTCTCGAGCTTGGAGGTTGATACACCCGCCCTCATTTGATGAGTGGGACTTCCTAGGTAAGGTAACCCCGTCTACAGCACTCAAGGCAGACGGCTCCGGGTCCGCCGCCAAGAAGGTTTCGGTGATATCTCCTACCTATTCCACCCGGTTCATGCCTCCCACGATTAGGGCTTTCTTTACAACAAGAACGCAAATCGGACCACAGTTACGCGCCAGTATTTGTCAATTTGGTCAGCATAGTTGACAATCGATCATGTGGCATGCGTCACATCTTGCATGCCACACATCTACGACAGCAGATCTCGACCGTCTATCATCAGATGTCCGCTAGTCTCCCTCCATCTCATATTACGTATCCCGTTCTACCCCGTCTACTAGGTAGTCAATCGCGATCGGGGAGACCTACCTATCCTTGCGTCCCGCCGTTGCCACTCGCCCATCTATCGCTAGCTTCGATTTCGGGATCACTGCCGTTAGTATAGCGCCGCACGCTTTCCACCCCGGCGCACAACGTCTTGCGCCACATCCAATCCCCGAGTACAAATGGAACTAGCAGGCGAGGCCCTGGGGAGGGACTACTGTTCAGGACTCTGATGTTCCCGCTTCCTGCGAAGATCTGGCAGGTACTTGGGTGTACATGGCTGTGGTATTCGTGGATGGCCCCTGCTAAGGAGTATCTTGGGCCATTCATCGCGGGAATATCAGGATGAAGAAACTGCCTCAAAAATGCTCGACGCGCACGGTGTGTCTGAAGCGGACGACGTGTTGCCTCACTGATGACCGCCCAGTCTCGCCATCTCGAGTAGCTTGTTACACTCTGACATGCAGATGTCATCTATATTCAACGTGATGTTGAGCAGACTGTAATCGTCATATCGGGCCTCAGGCGAATACAAGTATCTCCTGGTGTGATTTGGCGTCAGGACTGTGCTTCAGGTAGCTTTCAATGCTCGTGTGTGAAGAAGGGCTAATGTTAGCCAGCTACTAGACTCGAGGTGCAATTCTCTCTTGGGCTGCGAGGTAGTTGTAGCAATTCAATGTGTAGACGTACACATGACCTGGCGGTCGATTGCTCGAAAGAAAGCAATATTTCCCTAGCTCTACAGCTGCTGCAAATATAGTGATGCATCGGTGCGGGTGCTCATTGGAGTGGGTGTATAGGGTAGGCGTCCAAGACATGCGATCTTGACATGTAAACGACGGTTTACGACGATGCCCTTCTCTGTGTTGTCTAATATACCATGGCTGACAATTCCATGAGTGGGTTGCGATACATGTTTGTTTGTATTGACTTGTTATCTGATGACCAAGTTCACGGACAATAATCGCAACTTTTGAAAGTCTCCCCACAATTCGAGATGCCAACAAAAGGCTTGCGCAAACCTGAAATTCCAATCGCACAACTGACAACTCACAACTTGCCGAAATCGCCAAGAATGAGAAGCATGAAACTGTGCAAGTCACCAAACTTTGAATATTAAAAAAAATGAAGACTGTCAAGTAATCCAAATTCGAAAAGTCGCAAAAAAGAGAGTTGTCGAGAATCAAATAATTCTCCGGTACGGGGAATCGAACCCCGAGCCCCGCGGATCTTCAGACTCGAATTGAGGAGTCTTTGAAAACGCGATATGTTAACCGTTACACTATACCGGATGCTGCTGATGGAAATGGAGGGGCTTAATGCGGCTTACGAGACAGGGCAGTTAGTCATGATGCCGATCGCTCGGGGTTGTTAAGAGATTTGCGTGTTGTTGGCGCCAAGGTGCTAACAGCTGTGGGTTGGGTTGGCATAATTGGCGAGAATGGATCAAGGTAAAGCATATCCTTGGAGAGCAGCGAGAAATGAAAGAGAAGTTGTGGGAGAGAGTGGGATGAGGATACGAAGAATACAATGAGGGAAAGAGAATTAAACCTGAAACAACAATCCAGGAAATAGACTGCGGTTTAAAGAAAGTGTGAGGAAGGAAGGTGCAGCGCATGGTTCCAAGTATCGCGGCTGCTTACAGCGCGGTAACGGGCAGGTGCGTCCACTGACATGGAGGATCGTGGCTGAGATCTTGGAAGGGGGATGCCTTATGTCTTGTGTTTCTCGTATTCACTTTTTCATATTTGCGCAAAGAAAGTGAAAGACAGAAAACTGAAGTCAGTACCTATCTTGTCTCTCGTCGTCTATCCATCAACTTTCTCTTTCGTTTCGAGTGGTTTCGCAAAATGTTTTCGTACATCGTCGGTTTGGTCGCGTTTCTCGTTGTGTTTTATCAGCCCATCGTTCAGTTACTTTCGCCAGAGGCAGCAATACCTCAGATCCGGCGAACGCCAAGGCCCAAACTCAACTTTGACCTGCTGGCTTTGGAAGATGACGGCGGGAGTGATAGTACAAACGGGACGATAGGCTGTGCGTCGGACACATATTCCGTCCATATCTACTCCAGAGAACCGCTGGTGGTCTACATTGAAGGGTTCCTCTCGGTCGATGAGAGAGCACATCTTCTGGACATCAGGTTTGTACTTTCAGTCGGCCATATCTTATACGATTATCGCTTCACCTTTCTGTCTATGCAATAAGAGAAACATTGCTAAAACAAGCAAGCAATCCAATCTTTGCACCTTCAACGGTGACACACGACGCCGGCGTCTCCACGCACCGAGACGCAACCGTCCGCGACTCAGAGGTTGCCCTGATCCCTCGCACAGAGACGGTCAGGTGCGTGGAAGCGCGCGCTCGCTCACTGCAGGGCTGGCGGGAGGAAGTGTGGATCGAGCGCCTGCGCGTGCAACGGTATCGTCCGGGCGGCCATTATAGCCATCATTTTGACTGGAGCACCGGTCAAGGCGGCTGGGGACGGGTAGGCAGTTTTATGGCCTGGGTCGACGACGACGAGTCTGGTCTGGTTGGCGGCGGGACGGAATTTCCCCTACTGCGGCGCAGGGGGGATGAGAGGTGGTGCAGGTTCGTGGAATGTCCGTCTGCGGATAATCCTGAGCCTGCGGGTACCGTTTTCAAACCTATCGCTGGGAATGCCGTGTACTGGGAGAACTTCCGGTCTGATGGAAGTGGACGAGGTTACGACGAGACATGGCATGCCGGGTTGCCCGTATTGGAGGGGACGAAGGTCGGCCTCAATATCTGGAGCTGGGGCCGCATCGAGTGAAGGCTGCTCTTCGTCAGATTTACGGATGCCACTGGTCATATCAGAGGACCTGGAGAATGCAAGCATTTGATCAAATAACCGAGTCCCGACATATCATGTGTCCTTCTGACAGATTGCAGATTTGGTGTCAGGACGGTTGTTGTCAAAATAAGCATGCGCAACATGCAAGATTTAACACGCACTAACACGAATCCTCTGCCATAAGCCGCGATGCAGATATCCCATGTGAACCGCCAATCCCAATCCCAAGACACCACACCAAGCTTGTTGAGGCTGATTCCCATGTCAATATTGGATGTCCTACATATTTGGAATGTGGCTCACATTCTTGAGCGGTCAGTTGGTGAGGAGATGCACGTTGTGCAGAGAACAAAGAGGTCGGCCACCGGACCAAAGTCCAGCCGTCTGAGGCTGTCCGAATCGAGGTGTGACAAGCCACTGCCAACAACCACCCAACTCTGGTCGCACCTCTCAGGCGCATGACAGGGATCCAGACGCACTCTATCAATGTGAGCGGGGTGGAAATCCAATGTATGCTGTCGAACCACCCAACCAGCACCAACCGCCCGAACACTCCCACGCGTCATTGCCGCCATTGCTGGGCCTTGTTTCTCCGCCCCCTCCCTCAGCTCCTGCCCGAACCGGGTCCCCTCGGCCTCGGACAGACGTGCCGTTCCTGTGTTACGTCGGATTACGCGGGTAACTGATCGTCGCTGCGAGCTTAGACTACATCAATATGTCGGACCCGGAAGAGGCCCCGTCAACAGACGCGGCCTCGAGTTTCACCAATCCTCCGCCGGAGCTGCTCTCGTGCGTGAGCTGTCGGAGTCGGAAGCTCAAGTGCGACAGAGTGAAGCCGGTCTGCACCCGATGTGCTAAGGTGAACAACCAATGTGTATATCCGGAGTCCAGGAGGAAGCCCGCCTTCAAGCGAAGGAATGTACGAGAGCTGGAAGCACGGTTAGGTAGGATCTTCACCCTGCACCTTTCACTCGGCCGAGTGCTGTCGAAATAAACAGTTGCTGAAATCAACTTACAGCCCAGGTGGAGGGCCTGCTAAAGGATGTCGCGAAGCCGCCTCCCTCCGCTACCGCTCCGTTGGGTTCTGGGAACGTCACAGGCGGTGAATTATCAACCAGCGATCCTCTGTCTGCACAAGATGGTGGGAATATGTGGACTGGCACCGGCCTTGACTACGATCCAGCAATTGCCGAAGCCCTCCTGAACGGTGACGTGCCCGTTCTCAATCCACTCCAGCCGCAACAGCCCCTGTTCACATCCACCTCTCCGGAGGACAGCTCCGGCGCATCCGGCGGGTTCTCGTCCGGGGAGCTCTACGGGCTTGGTCAGTTTGAGCCGTTGCCGCCTCATGAGATGATTGAAGAGCTGTAAGCATGGGTTTGATACCTATTTCCAAGCCTCTGTACGACACAAGCGCACTGACACCGAGGTATGGATGTGTAGACATGCGATCTATTTCAGGAAGCAACAGCAACTCATTCCCATTGTCCACCAAGGGCGATATCTCCAGTCGTTTTATTCTGTCCCTCACATGCGACCGCCCATGGGTCTGCAGTATGCCATCTGGATGATGGCAGCGCACACCGACGAGAAGTACGGCTCGTACCACGAAGTTTTTTACCAGAGAGCCCGCACATATCTCGAACACGACGAGCTCAAGGTCAGACACCTCTAGGAATGATCCCGCACACTGAGTCACTAAACTAACAGATTCAAAGGGCTATGGTGAGCACTTTCTGACGGTTCGCCATGCGCAAGCATGGGCACTTCTCTCCACCAACGAGGCCCGATGTATGCTATTCACCAGGGCATCCATGAGTTCGGCGAGATGTACCAAGCTAGTCATGATGATGGGTTTACACCGTCTCGACGATAACTCCGAAGCCGGGGAGAGACTTATGGCGCCTACTCTCGGCCCGCCACGGGACTGGACGGAGTTGGAAGAACGGAGACGTACGCTCTGGGGTGCTTTCTGCATCGACAGTCACGCCAGCATCAGTACCGGATGGCCCAACACATTCGACGTAACCGAAGTAAGTTTGCATGCCATTTCCCCATGCAATGCACACCGATTGTCTAACCCCAAAACCAAGATCACCACCCGCCTCCCCTCCTCAGAAGAAGCCTTCGCCTCCTGCCGCGAAGAAGCAGCGTCCACCCTCCACGACGTCTTCAAGGGCGCGGACTACTCCGTCTTCGCCTCGGCCGTGATAACCTGCCACCTCTTCAACCAGATCCTCCGGCACGCCCACCGGCCGCAGCCCGACGAGCGGCCCGAGGACGTCGACTACGGCAAGTTCTGGACGCGCCACCGCTCCCTCGACAACACGCTCTCGGGGGCCTTCATGTTCCTCCCCGAGCGGTTCCGCTTGCCGAGGAACCTCCGCAACCCGGTAGCCGTGCACGCGAACCTCAACCTCCACGCCGCCGTCATCTGCCTGCACCACGCCGCCTGCGACAAGGCGGACGAGTATGACATCCCGGACCACGTGAGGAAGGTCAGCCTCGACCGTCTGGTCACTGCGGCGGGGGAGATAGTCAATATCATGAGGCTGACGGCGCATATGAATGCGGGATATGTAAGGCTGCTGCCCCTTCCCCTTCTCCCCTCCCTCCCTGCTTCCTCTATCTCCCCTAGTCTACTAACCAACTTCCAGCGCAGCCCTTTGGTAGCCCTATCCCTCTACTGCGCCTGCTCGGCGTACATCTACGCCTCCAAGTTCTCGTCTTCCTCCCCAGCTTCCTCCCTCTCCTTCCTCCTAGACTGCATGGAGACCATAGCCCGCTCCCACATAATAACCCGCTCCTACCTCGCCCAGGCTGTGCGCGACATCAAGCTCAACCCGTGGATAGACTACTTTGACGTCTCCAAGTGGGAATCCCTACCCATCATCCGCCAAGCGAACAACAACGTCCCCCTCCTGGCGCGCAGTTCCGTGTCGAGGCACACCAAGATCCAACCCCCCTTGCCGGGGAGGCTGCCGCTTAGCGGGTCGAGTGGGTGTAGCGGGTTCGGCGTCGGGCCGGGGCCGGGGTCGCAGTCTGCCGGGCGGGTGTTGGGGGAGATGGAGGAGGAGGAGGAGGAGGCGGAAGATGATGATGATGGTGACGACGAGAGGGCACCTGCTCCTAAGCGCAAGAGGACAACGACGACTACTGGGGTTGTTCTCGTTGTGCTGGAGGAGCAGCAGCGGTTCGCTGCCGCCGTGCCGCCCGCCACTGCTACTACGACTGTTCTAAACCCGCCGGCGGCGTCGACGTCGACGTCGCCCTCGTCCTCACGCGCCGGGGTAGCGAGACAGGCTGCGCCGGGGGGGTTGTGGCCGCCTAATTCGGCCGCTGCTACTCCAGCCCCTCAAGGTACAAGTGCGAACCAATACCCACCGGCAGGACCATCATCAGGTTGGGCAGGTTACGGCCAGCAGCATGCACAGCTACCCCACCGCCCGAGCGGGGGCTCCCCCGCCGTGTCGACCTCGA